TTGCGATTATGGACTGCTGCTCCGGAGTGAGTGCATTATAGTCAAGGGTCGATAACTAGTTAAAAACTGAGCTACCCAGGTCGACGTCCAGAAGTGATTATCGTACAACAGCTTTGTGTCACCACCAATTCTACGACAGACGGCTATCGCGTGAGAACACGGTTTTCTATGTGTCTGCCACTTCCGACAACTACAACGTTTTCCGGGGTAATCAACCTTATACCTGTATTTCAACATTGATTTATATAATACAAAATAAAAAAAATGAATGAACAAAAAAAAAAAAACATATAGTTACTTGTTTTGCCCTCTTCCACTAGCGCGTAGACCGGTTGTCACCGCGTACATCGATCTGTCGTAGTCCGTACATTCCACATCGTGAGTTGCGGCAGTCTGCTCCAACTGCAAAAATGCAACATAGTGCAAATGAGCAATGGGACTCCTGCATCTGCTGGACTTGTGCTGTTCTTGTCGAAACAAATCCAGAGTTTTTTGAAATGTGGCCTCTACCAAAGCTCTGCACGGCAGGAACCTAACCCCTTTCAGGACATTATCGTAACTCTCCGACATATTCGTTGTCAAAGTGCCCCATCTACATTTTTCATCTCGATAGAGGGTCCACTGGTTCAAAGGAATGTTGAAAAGATAATTTTATGCGTCGGGATTAAATTCTTGAAGTCGCTGTTTTGTCTGTCGAAACTTTTGCTTCGACAACTGCGAACCCAACTCCCAACACCAATCCCGGATTTTCTTACTTCTGAACCGGGTCACCACGTTGCTTCGAAGGTGTCGAAGGCAAAGCCGATGATACGCAGCGGGTTCTTGCCAATCCGGTAATGATTCAATCGCACTGCGTAGACCCATATCCCTGTCAGAAAGAACACATATCTGTCTGTCGAATACAACATATCGCCGCAGATTTCTAAGGAAAAATGACCAACTCCCCGTGCTTTCTTCGTCAACCAGCGCATACACGATTGGCAATAGCCGCTTATTCGCAGTCCGACCACGAGCAATTTCCCTTTGTAATGTCCACGTAAATGTGTGCCATCAACGCTAATAACCGGCGGGCACATTACGAAGGTTTGAATCACGGGACCAAACGCCCGGAACACATATTTAAATTCTCTGTCTGGAACGTGTAGGGCCGCATCACCACCCTGAAATTCCCAATCTACAGCTGTGTTGGGATTCGCTCTTTGAAGCGCGACAAAATATCTGTACAATACAAAACAATTTCATAAATAAATAAACATACTGACAGACAAAAAACACGTATATTTGTAATTAATTTTTGCTTACTGAGGGAGTTCTGCGAAGTTCGACTCCCAATTCCCGTACACACACTCGATTGCTTTTTTTTTTCTGCCGTGCCATGCCTTCTTGTAACTGACGTCGACTTTCCAACACTGCTTCACATCAGCCTGGACCATGTTAACGTTGTACTCCAATTTCTTCTGAATCTTATTCATTATAAGATTCGCAATCATATGGGCAGTCACGTTTCTGTGGTCATTTATGTCGACCTGTTGCATGCAAGTGTGTTGGTCAGTCCATTCAGTTACTTCCCACAAA